CCTCTGTTTCAGATAGAAATATTCAGAGATAACACTTATGCTGGGAAGCTCTTTTAAAAATACGAAAAGGAAAAAACTAAAGAGTACTTCTTAAAGATGTTATACCAGGAAGAGAGAGGAAAATCTTGTTGTGTTTGTTCGGTAGAATAAAAGCTGACTGCAAAGTAAGATGATTTGTTTTCAGTATATAACCTTGGAATTGAGATTGCTTGCTGCGTCTAAAAAGAGTTGTGGTGAAAATATTACAGCAATAAACACTGTATTTGGGGTTGGTGGTTTTGAAATTATTCAACAAGGCTTCCATTTATTGGGGAAAAACATAATTGCAGGTTATTTGAACATTATAGCTCTAGCCATATGACATCTTTTTGTGAAAATTAATGATGAGTGGTTTGCCAGACCATTAAGCTGGAGCCTGTAGTTGATCTAAAAGTTGGTTTTCATGACTTTTCTTCCTCACAAGCTTAGGTGACTTCCTTCAAGTGGTTACGCATTGTGTTGTGATCCACAAGGTCAGCTGTTTGAAACCACTAGTCATCCCTCAGGAGAAAGATGGGCTTTCTATTCCCATAATGAATTGTAGTCTCAGAAACTCATAGGGACGGTTCTACCTTGTTCTGTAGGATATCCATGAGTCAGCATAACTGAAGGGCACTGAGTCTGATTTTCAGTGATCACAAGCCAACAGAGGAAACAGTGGAAACCTGATGTCTTAGCCCTTCCTCCTGCAACTGGAAGGAGGCCTGCTGGTGCAGTGGATTACATGTTGCACGGCTAACCACAAGGTTAGCAGTTCAAATTCACTAGCTGCCTCTCAGGAGAGAGACGAAGTTTTCTATTGTAGTAAAGATTTACCTTCTCAGAAACCCATAGGGGCAGTTCTACTTTGTCCTGTAGGGTCACTGTGAGTGAGACGCTACTTTCTGACACTGATTGAGTGATCCCGAAATTGCAGACAAGAGTCAACAATTGCTTTCCAAAAATTCCCCACCATCACCCACTACTTTGAGCCAATCTTATTTATGGAGAGTTACAACTAGTTTCAATGACTCTGATATGTTCACCCCTTTCCAGTCTTCTGAGGGGTAGAGCAGCACACACTGCAAAATGAGGGAGCGCATCGTACTCCCCCGCTTCCTCTCTGACTTTATACCACAATTTCTGTGTTGGAGAATTAAACGTAATTACCCCTTCAGTCCTAATTTGACATTTGAAAGAACATTTTCTGTTTATCTGGAATGATGATATGGACAGTAGAAAACAACCTCTCTTCCAGAGCAGCTTCTCCGGGTGGGGAGATTGCTTCTGCAAACACAGTCAGTTAAACACAAAAGAACTTTGTGACCCTGATAGAAAACGACTTCAAGTACATTATTGTTTCTTGATCGACAAATGAAAGTAACATCTATAATCAGTGGAGCTCATTCTCGTCTTCATAAGTTTTGTTTTCTGGTTTTTTTGGTGAAGGTTTACACAATGATTCAGGTTCCCATTCAGCAATTTCCACAGGAGCACAGTCCTTAGGTGATATTAATTATGTTTTCAATCAATTTGTTATTTGAGAAGGGCTTGTGGTTTTAATATGGAGCTATGGTGACACACTCGGTTAAAAATTGGGCCACTCATCACAAGGACAATGGTTCAAACCCACTGGTCCACAGGAGAAAGGTGAGGCTGTCCACTCTTGTACAGATTTCCAGGCTTTGAAACACAAAAGAGCAGTTCTAGTCTATTCTATAGAGTCAATATGGAGCAGAATCAACTTGATGACAGGGTATTCATTTTTTTTCTCCTTTTGGTCTATGTGTTTTTAATAAATACATTTTATCGAGTTAAGGAAATTGCTGAAGATTCTTAGCTCGCTAATATGGCTTTTCATTGCTTTGGTTTTTAACTTGTTTTATTTCTGAATGTTTGATTTTGTTTATTATTGTTACTGAAAACTTTTTACCATTTCACCTGATAAATCACATGGATGTGTTTTTTAAGTCATCTTAGCTGAAGCATAAGATATTAGCTGTTTTACCTGAATTATAATCTACATATTATAAAATAATGTACACTCATCTAACCACTTTTGCAATCAAAGCATATGCAATTTCCATCATCATCAAAAGCTTTCTCAAGTTTCCTTGCGGGCATTTCTCATGATTACTCCTGATCTGTGTTTTGTTATTACATATTAGTTTTGATTAAACTTCCACTTCAAGAAAAACATGACAGTATGCATGTTTTTGTATTTTTTAACTCAGCATCCCTTTTGAGACCCATCCTTATAGTAGTGTGTCAGTAGCACGTTGCTTTTGGTTGGACAGATGCAGTGCATTTTAAAATCCATTCAACTACTGCTTGCCATGTGGCATATTCCTGGTACTTGGCCCTTATTAATAAGTAAACCATGGATATTTGTAATACTTTGGGCAGACTTTGTGTTTTCATTTTTTCTTTCTATTAGTGGCTTGTCATATACCTTTTTTTAAAAGAATTGTCGATCTCTTTTCCAAAGTGATATTAGCATTTTACATTCTCAGCTTCAGTGTGTATTTGAGTTGTTCCATACTTACTAACTCTTCCTAATGTGCGTCTTTTTAATTTTAGCCATTCTACCGTGTCATTTTATTTCATTTTAGTTTTAAACTCTATTTCTTCATGACTAATGATAAGACTATTGCTATTCAGCGTTTTCTCATAGTCACCTTGACCTGTAGTCACTCACATATTTTTGTGTGTATTTAAATACTTTATCCATTTTAAAATTTAGTAATTTGCCTAAATGACTAAATTACATCAGTACATTAGATACTGATGTATATGTATACACACATACATACATAAAAAGAATATATCTGTATATGATACAAATATTTTGTTTGTCTGATTTTGGGGTATAAAATTATACTTTGAAAAATAATAATAACTGTATCTTGCCTTCTAATACTATATTGTTTGTTTCTGGTACATATTTTAATATCTCCTGGAATTTCCAGAAATAAGTTAAATAAATAAGTGGTGACAGTGCAGATTTTGTGGTTTGTTTTTAATAATAATAGGGTCCCCCTTAATATTTCACTTTTAATGGAATTTTTAAAAAGTAATTGTTTTCAATATATTAAAATTAAGGAAGAATCACTCTATCTCTACTTTAAATAAATTTCAAAACATTTAGGACATTTTGAATTGTATCAAATGGCTTTGGATATCTATCGATATCCAGATAATGTACTTATTTTCTGATCAACTGAAATGTTATATTAAACCAGGTTTTTAAAAATGTTAAATAATCTTTGAAGTCATATGTTTTGGATAAGTTTATTATTCTCTAGATACAATAATATTTTTATTTGTTATCTTCATGCAATAGTTTAAATATTTATGGTCATCAGTAAGATTTTTATTTTACTACTTTCTACTGACATGTATCATGTTTTATATCTAAAATAATATCACCTTCAGATAGAAGAAAATCTGCAAAAAATATTTTTGTGATAGTTATTTCTTCTATATGAATGAGTTAGGTAATATATTTCAGATTTTCATCATGCTGTGTGACGTTGGGCAAATCACTTTCTCCCTCTGAAGCTAGTTCATCTATAAAAATGAAGGGAATTGGACTATAGGAACTCCTAGGTTGCTCCAGATCTAGCATCCTACCACCTTAACTTCATAAAGAAGTCCCTTCAGCTTTATGCTATTAACTTACTAGGGCTGAATTAATAAGTTTAAGAGCAATATTACTGAGAAAGATCAAAATAAATTGTGTCCTCATGACTCTGGTAGTTTTAAACCTGAATTAAAAAAAAAAAAAGAATCTATAAGAAAAAGCTTAGAGGCCATTGTTTTATCAGTTTGGCCTGAGACAAAGATTTAAAATTTTTTATGTATTTATTTATTATTTATTGAGACGGAAACACTTTGACCCTGCGATTTATCTTAGAGTGCTTTCAAAATTGTGGGCCATCTATACCTCTCTGTACAAGGCACGCGAAATATTCGATAAATGCAGTGAGTGCACAGACAGGAGTTCTAGATCAGGGAGCCACTCCTGCCATTTACTAATTTTCTTATCTTATTGCACTCACTTCACCCTTTGGGGGCATTGATTTTCTTATTGGTGAGAATGGATACGGAAGTTGTAAGTAACTAATCCCATAAGAATGTCTACCGCGGTGGTTTGATTGAGGCTTTGTCCCCCTTTACTGTGTCGTAATTGGTCCTGGAAGCAACGTTGCAAGGCAGCCAGCACAGTGCCAGTGTCCTTATTTTCAGAGTTGGTTCAGACTGTGGATGCTAGAGAACTTGGTAGTTTGCCCAATCTGCTTCCTAAGTGGCAGCGTTCCCGCTGGAGCCCAGGAATTCTGATTCCTCAGCTGCATTTTTTAATTTACCACACTGTCTTTCATTAAACCTTAAAATTACCTTTCTATACTTTCCAAGCATTCTGGCCTATAGTCCAGCCATTTACATCACGAAGACCAACAATCTCTGATGCCTGGGGGTTCAACTTGGAAGCCATTTGTGATTTTAGACACGGTAACATAATAACACGTTGTTCATGTACAGTGAACCCTTGTTTATCACGGTTAATCGGTTCTAGACCCTACCGTGATAAATGAAATTCTGCGAAGTAGGATTCCTTATTTGTAAATCAAATATGTTCGTAGTTAGAGCATAGAGGACATGAAAAAACACCCTTTAGTCACCATTATACTCGTATTACCCAATTTATTAAACGAAAAAGGGAAAATACAGTAAAACATTTTGGACGTTAATTACAACTATCATTTATTATTTTTTATATTATTTATGGCATCAAGCGTGTACAGTATGAGCCAATCAGCGGCAGTAATGACAGAGCATGCGCTGTTACGCAAAAACCGCGATAGAGTGAAGCCGCTGAAGTCGAAGCGCGAAGTGGCGAGGGTTCACTGTATATGTGGAACTGATCCCTTGAGAAGAACTCCGTCTAACACGTCTCCCTTCTTTTCCTGATTCTCTTTCAGCTGGCAGTTCTGTGGATGAAAAGGTTTTACATCATACTTGTTCTCCCCTCCCGAGGGATCTTGTCTTTTGTCCATGTTTGTTTGCGAGCTCTCCGATCTGTTTTGGATTCCTGTTTTAGCTGTGACATGTGCATGTTCTCCCAGCTTTTCATTCTTTGGTTGTTTGCTAAGTGTGCCCCGATGTGTTGCGTTTATAAGAGGTTGTACTTTGCCAGCTGCGCTTCCTTGAGCTTACACTTGCCAATCCAGGGGTCCGCTGCAGTCAAACACAGCATCCGGTCTTTGTCTGCCGATCAGAACCTTCCTGACCGATTCAGGATCGCCACAGGCACATGCCACTTTCAAGGGCAAATCGCATTTGGGAAGATAATACATTGTCTTGGACTCTGACAGTGCTTTTCCTTCCATGCTGACAGCTAATTTCCAAACCTCCTTCCACAAAAACACAGTAGCTTTGACCTGGAGCTGACCCTGCTTAGCGTTTGTCATACTAGGGTGTATGTGTCTAGTGCGGTTGACCCATGTCCCAGATTCCTGTACATAAAGCTGTACGATGCTAAAAGCCTCTTTGTTTTGTTTTGTTTTCTCGTTCATCACTGAAGGCTCGGATAGTAAGTGGCAGTGAGGTGGATGCTTCTAAATTCTCTGCACTCCAGGCGTTTGGTGGGTAAGTGTCATCCATAACCTTTTCCGTCATTACATCCACTCTTGGCATTTGGCTGTGCCCTAAAAATATATATTTTGAATACATGATGAATGCTTATAGTATGCAAGATGCATAATTACCTTAACTGTTGCTCTCTTTTTCTCAAAATAAGGTCATGTTTAAGCAATAAAGGGATATATTCTCATGGAAAATATTTCTAACAATAAAACTATGCATATCCATCCAAGCATAAAGTCATGCCTTTATGTTCAGGCAACATCCAACGTCCAACCACATAACTATCCACAGTCGCATCGGTTAAAATAGGCACATGGTAGAGTTCAGAAATCCCCAGCACAGAGCAGGACATGGTAAAAACAACACCTGCCTGCACACAGCTCATGCATCTCATGTCTCCTATTTACAAAGCAACTGTCCTGTTGGATATATAGCAATAGAGTACATATGTAACTTGTAATAGTACAGCTATAACCTGTAATACATATGTCTCGATACTTATAATACATACCTATGTTACTGGCTTATTTTCGTATTGCCCTATACTTTTTAATCTAAAAAGTTTACCATATCACAGTGCGTGTTTCAATTCCTAAGCAACAACATCCAACTTCACGTATTATCTCTTGACAGGTGTAGCATTATTTGTCTGTTTAATTTTCTTATGACAGTATTACCAGGAAATACAAGTATAGCTTGGCTCCCAAATGCAGCAAAATGAGTACTAGTGATCGCAGCAGCAGGAGGCCAAAGAAAAGCATAGATTTGGACGTGAAAGAAAAGGTTATCACACAACAGGCAGGTGGAAAATCAATGAATGCTATTGTTCACAATCTAGGCTTGTTACACTCAACAACCACGCGGGTCCTCAAAAACAGTGAAAACATTCTCCAAGCTGTTAGCTTCAGGGTGAACAAAAATGCAAGAAGGATATGGAGAAATGGCAATGACCTAGATTATGAACCAAATGCAAAAATGCAGATTGACAATCACTTCTAAGACACCAAGCTTATTCACGGTACTTACAACAAGCCAGGATAAGACTGTGCTATGGTATTCATCCAAGTTGAAATCATATAATGTCCTGTTTTATAGAATGTATGTGGACATGTGTGAAGCATGACTTTATGCATATATATGTATGTTATATATGTAGTTATATAGTTATAGAGATCACCTAACCAGATTCACCATTAACATTGTCATTCTATATGCAAATATAACTGCAAAATTTTACATAAATGAGTGTCTTATTAATACAGTGCATACTATCTGTCTATGTTTTTGCCCTCAATGATTGGTGCATGAACATCTTTCCATGTCTGTCAGTCTATGAATTAAATCTATGCCATCATTTTAACAGTTGCATGGGGTTACATTAATTCATATGCCAATGTATTTGATATTAAACTATGAAAACATGTGTGACTTATATGATCCATGCAAAATCTTCCAAGAAAGCCAAGGATGCCTTTATTGTCCAGCTGTGCCCTCGTGTCAGCTTGATGCGTATGCTCATGGATCCACTTCCAGGAGCTCACCCACGTCTCTCTATGGCATTGGGGAAGTCGTCTTACTTTGTGTGTATCTGCGCATCTTAGCACAGTCCATCAATATCCGTGTCACTCTGACTTTGTAATGCCAGGTCATGTTCTGAAGGTTTCTCCTTATTGACTTTACTCTCACAAGGGCCCTATAAGGTAAGTCGTTTCAGCTCCCTTCACACAAATGAGGAAATGGATGCGTAAAGGAGTTTTCAAAAAACCTCTTCTTTCAGCTAGCTAGGAAGCGACACAGGCAGTGTGCTAATTCAGCTAATTGAGTTCTATTCTGTGCTCTTAATAGCGATCTTATATTGCCTCTGACATTTCATGTCTTCCTTCTTTTTCTATTTAACAACACATCTGAGAAAATCTCGACTCTATTATGTCCAATGTAACCATTTCAAACCCATCGTGTAGTATATGCCCCCTACCCCAATGGATGGGTTTTCAGGATTGTTCTTGTTGTTGGCTGCTGTCGCGTTGCTTCTGACCCATAGAGACCGGATGCCTGACAGAAGGAAACACTGCTCAGTCCCGTGCCATTCTCACCGTGGCTGTTGGCTTTGAGCCCATGGTTTGCAGCCACTGTGCCATTCCCTGACATCAAGGGTTATTTCCTTTTTGCTACCTACCCTTCAACTTGGCCCGACTTGGTGTCCCTTTCCAGGATCTGGGTTTCATTATTATGAGTGATACTGTTGTAAACCTATTACAATAGCTAGATTTTTAAGAGTATAAATTTGGGGAACCAAAAATTCACATTTACACAGACGTATCATTAAAAGCATTGCATTGAGTTTTTTCTGATTCATACAGATACACAGGCCCATAGGGTTTCCAAAACTGTAAATATTTATAGATGGACACTACCACATCTTTCTCCTTTTAAAGACTGGTGGATTCGCAGGAAATATTTTAACCACTGTGCCACCAGGTATCCATGTATAAGCAGATGTATTATATCTGTGTGTATTATTTTGTAAGTATTGAAATGTGAACACATTTATATATAAGACATAAACAGTCCCCAATAAACTAACATCTGATTTATGTACCACCCACAGTTCTGAACCCACCCCCATGAGCCTATAATATTAAAATTCAAGGTACATACATACAATGGGTCTTAATAACAAAAAAGCGATACTTTGCATCACGAATCATATTATTCTTATGACTACATAATTATGTTAAAACATTTTGTGTATATCAGAGTATTTCTTTAATGATTTTTACCTATATACTAGGATAAATATTTGACTAATTGATATTAAATATTAACCATACTTAACTCTTCTAACTTACATATTAATTTGACTTAAAGACAGACTTAAGAATGGAACTCATTTGTAATCTGGGACTGCCTATAAACTGCAGGAAATTGAGATCGATATTTTAAATACATTAAAACGTTCTCTTTTTTAAGGAAAAATGTAGTCTTAGAATTCTGTTATAGGACATTCTCACTCTTCAAAAATTATATCAATCCTTGTGCTACTTAATTTTAAATGAAAAATGTTTAAGGTTTAAATATGACATTTTAAGGAAATGGTTTACATAATATTTCTTTATTCAAAGTGCAAGAATGTTATTGACTGCAGTGAGTCTATAAGAAATGTTCAGTCAGGCCACTGGAAGCCCTAGAAAAAGGATTGTCTTTTATAGGAGTCTTACATGGGACTGAAGCAGGCCCCGCCACTATGTTCTGTGATGGAATATGACCAGGTGGGAAAAGTGTGTTTTTAGCATGAACACCGCAGTCGATTATTGCGAAGTGGTGAAGGAAAATTTTGAACCAACTATGCATCTCTCATCAGATTCTCTTTAAGGGAGCTCTTAGTGATGCAATTGCATGCCCTTCTCCCTCCACCTGTATACAATAAGTCAATGTCTACAACTACTGATGCATCAATGTGATGAAACTACATTAGTTAATGATAGGGAATAAAGTCAGGTGAATACATCTTCCAACTTTGAATAATATTTTTAATAGACTGATACCTTTAGTGCTTTTATTGTATATGACAGAAGTTCACCTTTTCCTGGGAATTTGTAGTCAGTTATATGATTAATACTTCGATATATTTTTTCTATTTTTAAAGCACAGACTTTACCTTCAGGTGAGTCCACAAAACAACATTGAAGACAAGGGGAGAGGCACATAATTTCAGAGTGGAGATAATCTTCCTTTTTTCCCTTCTTTCTGGAGCCTTCGGTGTTCTGTGTAGGATTTGTACATGGTTCTGAATGAGGCTTAGGTTATGGATGATTTCTGTAAACTCACAATTCTGGTGATCCGTGTCTAACCATCACCAAGATTGTTGAACATTTTCCAGAAAGAGGCAGTGGGGAGAGACTTTTGAGAAAGCAAAGCAAGAGGGAAAATTGAGAGCTACTGTTGAAGTCCAGGTCACTAAGAGATTTAAACAAAGAAATGGAAAACATCTTTGGCCTCAGTTTCAAACATATACTGTTTCTAAAAAAGAAGAAATAGTTTTCAAGGTATACAAGACTGGGCATTTATTGTCATAAATAATAGGTTGGGTTTAAATAAGCCAATTATCAGGCAAATTTCTGTACTATTCTTTTGCTTTAGCATTTGCTTTACTTTTACATTAGTTTGGTCATTGCAGTTGTAGAACCTACACAAGTTAACTAAAATCAAACTTACTGCCTTTGAGTCAATTCTGACTCACGGTGACCCGAGGACAAGATAGAGTTGCCCCAGTGTGTTTCTGAGACTGCCCTCTTTGCGGAAATAGAGATTCTCATTGTTCCCCTACAGAGTGACTGGTGCTTTAGAACTGCTAACCTCAGGGTTAGAAGCCCAACTCAACCATTACACCACCCAGGGTTCCAATAGTTTCAATATACTCTTGGTATTTCTGACGCTGCTTTTTATTGATAAAGTGTTGGAGTTTACCTATTGCCTCCTGCTCTCTGCCCCACCCCTGTTTTTGAACTCTGCTTAGCCAGGACTTGAAATCATACATTAAACATAGAAACTGAGATTGTTCCTCATCCTTGGGGCTCTCTTCTCCTGCCTTATACTTACCTAAAGCCTTTCTCTGGTAGCCACACGTTTTGTTCAACTTTTCCTATCTGGTCCATAGATCAGAGTATCTGCTTACTTCTCCAGGACCAGAAATTCTCAACCTAAGCAGAATCGACTTCCACTACTTTAATCCCTTACCTGTGAGTCAGCTGCCCCACCTAGACCACCCTACCCACATCCTCTTAACCCAGGTTGGCAAGTGTGAAGACTAGGTGCACGACCTGACACAGCCCCACCTGACACAGTTTACCTCATGTTGTAAGGAAATGAAAGTGTTGGTCTGTCTCTGACTTTTAAATTAGCTGTTTTGTACAAGAGTCCTCTGTCCCCGGGAGATTTGGCAGGTAAGGAGTTCATTATAGGTTTAAGAAACAGTGTATTAGGGATTGTTAATCTTCACAAAG